TATATATATATATGAATAAAAACAGCATGCATCCATACCATCGATTATTAATGGTAGAGGACCCCTTGCTCAAACACACAGCACAGCGTATAACTGGGTCAGCATGAGAAGGGGGACCTATAGAACACAGCATGAATCCATATGCTCTACCATCGATTATTAATCAGAGGACCCCCTGCTCGAACACACAGCACTCCGGGCTGGAGAAGTGACCGAGCCAGCCAACATCCCATCCAGAGCAGACAAAAGAGGTGGGAGGAGAGCTCGTCTGGCTTTGCCTCGCCACAGGATGGGGTGGTGGCTTTTGTTGGAAGCGCCTGCTCAGAGCACGGAGGTGGTGGGGGTGGATTCTACAATTACTTCTGCTGACTGTCACGTTACTGTTTTGGAAAGTTTGCCGTGAAGTTTAATAGTAGAGTGTGCCGAGGTATTGACCTCTTTTCTTTGGTCACACATTGTCTACCAATGCTCACTGGAGGATACTTTATGGGACAAGTTGGAGTGTGGCGTTCTTTGAGTTCGGTGGTGGATTTCCCTGCTCCCTCTTGAAGTGATTGATCGGCCATCGCTCCTCCTCCAGTAGACGTATTCAGGTACGCTGTGGCAGCTCTTTTATCACCTACATACTGATCTTGCTGTTTCCTTTCTGTGGTCTGTAAAGTCCAGTCTGCCCTAAAATCAATGCTGCTGCATGCATTGGATGGTGATATAAACGTGGAACAAGCAGGTTAAAGTCCACATCGTATAAATACTGATGGAATCTGTTTTGGGGTCAGGGGATAGTGAAAAACAGCCAGCCTCATTACCTGTTAGCCCCCATTAACTCGTGAGGGATCGGATTTTTTTTTGCACGTTTGAACATGTGATTTTATGTGTAAGTACTTTTTTTTGTCTGTGGCTGTATTCACATAGGGATTGTAACTGTGTGTGGGATTCCTGCTGCAAGAATATATGGATTATTGTGGCAGGAGTCCCAGGTGTGCCTGTTCAGATGCGGCTGATGTACCCATTCAAGTTAATGACAGGGTGACAGCGGCTGCATCAGTTGGCGTCAATCCGCTTATATACTGCATCCAGGGATATACCTGTGGACTGCCACTAACAGACGTGGCTGCTGTCATGAAATTGAATGGGTATAGCGGCTGCACCTGAAATGGTACACATGGGTTTCTTCCCGCAGCAATCCCCAGCTGCAGCATTAAAGTGACGCTAAACTCAGGAGTTAAACCTTAAAAATACATTCAAGTACCTTAACTATTCACAAAAATGTATCTTATTTGTGTGTCTCTCAGCTGTGGATCCTCAAATCATCTCTGAATTCATGTGGACACTGTCCTTCAGGGCTTGTTCACACTAAGCGCGTTCCAAGAGCAGTTACAGACCGGATCAAAACTGCGTCCAATGTATTCCAATGGTATTTTGGGCTCTAGTTCACACCGCAGCTTTCAGTTCCAGAGCATGTAAAAAAAACTGCAGCAAGTCCTATTTTACTTGCTCTGGAACGCATGCAAACACATCAAAAACGCAAACGCCCTGGAACGAACTGAAAGACCATTCTAAAATGAAAAACAAAAACGGCCTGGAACGCATCAAAAACGCAGTATAACACACTGCACTGCGTGTGCAGAAACACATGCAGATCTGGTCTGCATTTGGTGTGAACAAGCCCTCATTTTGGAGGGTGGCTACTTTTGTTTCCCATGGTCCCTGTGTGTGTGTTGTAAAGTAGCCACCAATCCAAGCTCGCTCCCGTGATGGACTACAATCTCACGTTTAGTTTACTCATTTGTATTGAGATTGTAGTCCATCACGGGAGCAAGCTTGGAGCGGTGGCTACTTTACAACACACACACAGGGACCATGGAGAACAAAAGTAGCCACCCTCCAGAAGAAAGGACAGTGTTGACTTGAATTCAGAGATTATTTGAGGATCTACAGCTGAGTGATACACAAATAAAGATACATTTGTGTTAATAGTTAAAAGGTACTTGAATGTATTTATCTCCTGAGTTTAGTGTCACTATAGGCCCAGTGTGAATGGGCCCTTAGTCATTGGAAAGCTAGTTACTATGAGGAGAAGACGGCATACAACGTAAAGCTTTGGGCAGGTTTCCTTGCCTGGGAAGCCCAGCTGGTGTGTATAGCCACCCTTAGGCATGAATGGCTATACGCCGGTGAAAACACGTATAGTGTGTGGACATATTCCCGAACACATTTTACTTTTGTAGAATATGGCTGTACCCTATATATGGGTTTAGGCTAGTGCCAGCATATAGATGCAGAGCTATTTTATGTCTATGGGTGACTGTTATCACTAGCTTGGCTTCCTGATCATGGTCAAAAGCCTGAAGCTTGTATGCGCAAATGCAACTGTGTGCATGAGCCATAAGGTGTTTTTCAGATTGGTCAAAATGTGCAATCATGCCCCAAAGATGCTCATGTTCTTCTTCTTTTTTTTTTTTTTTTAGCATGTTGATGGGCACAATAGAATGCAACAGAAATCTGAGTGTCAAATGCTTGAGTGATTCCACAAACGTTTTTTAAATAGCTCAGGTGTGAATGGGGGCTTAAAGTTCTTGAGCTCCTAATTTATATTCGCATCTTTAAAGTGACATTAAACCCTCAGATTTTTTAACATAAACCAATACTGTAATGTGTGCCTTACTGTAATCCATGGCAGTTTCCCTTCCCTTTGCTGCTCTTTCTTTTAAATCTGTATCTCTTCTCATGCTGGGGGAGAACTTCCCTTTGCAGCTGAGTGCCTCCTCCTGTAGTGCTGGCTCAGGTTGTGAACCTTCACACAGACACCATGTATCCATTTCGGAGACAAGGCAGTCTGCTGCAAAACAGAAGATCTGCCCAGCATGAGAACAGATACAGATTTAAAAGGAAGCGCAGCAAAGAGAAGGGAAACTACCATGGATTACAGTAAGGCACACATTACAGTATTGGTTTATGTTAAAAATCTGAGGGTTTAATGTCACTTTAACTTGATTTTCTTTTAAGGGTCTGTTCACAGCAGCAAGCTACACTTAACACCCGGCCACTGTGCGCTGACAAACAGTGCTAATGCTTTGGTCCCAGTCCATCACACGGTTTAAATTTTTGGTTCGAACTTTATTGCAACATTTATTGCGTTTGAACAGCCACAGAATGGTGCAATACGGTTGTACTGTGTTGCACTGCGCTGCACGTAAAAAAAAAAGTACTGTATGCAGTATTTTTAATTTTTTGTTTACAGCACACCTTCTCAGAGGCCTGGCCTGATTGTAAACAAAGCAAATAGCCTTGTCTGTGCTTTGGGACTGCACTAGAAAAGGCTTCCAGTGCAGCCCCAGCTCATCTGGTGATTTGGCCCTGAATGTATTTACATGTTATTCATTAATCAGCTGGCATCTTTGTTGTAACTCTGTGAATTCCAAGCACTTCACTGGTTTTTGTACCATTTGAACCATTCTGTTAGCCCACGGTTTCACATGTGTAGTGTGTAAATTAATGCAGCGTTGCATGATTTTGTGCATGTTCATGAAAGTTGCAAAAATTGCGTGTCACACTTGTAGTGGCATTTATTGGTAATGACACTTTAAATGCACCAAGTTCCAAAAGGTGCATGAACTTTTTTGCCACATTTCTTACAGAGCCTATTGTAAGGAATGAACTGCCCTATGCATAAATGCGATGCTTAAAGTCACCTGTCGTAAAGTGTGAATGGGGGCTTAGGGCTGCCAATTCTGTTGAAGCTAATTGTACATTTTTTAACAGAATTTAACTGTACTGGGGTAGGGGTATGTAGGTGTTGAGTACTTGCCATAACAGTATTGTGATGGAACTGTGTATACAGTTCAGGCAAATGTTCTTGGCTTTGTGACAGCAGGAACATAAATGCCTGGAGCTATGTATCATGGGGAAAGGAAGATAGACATACCCTGACAGAATTTTTAACCGTTCCATATTTTACTGAAATTATGGTTTTGTTGCAGTTTGTGATCCCACTAGAGAGATTGCATATCACTTCCTGTTCTGATAGGAAGATAAATATCCCCAGTGGGGGGCATCAAATAAATAAAAACCTGAAAAAAGTTCTATCTGTTTACCAGTTTGTCCAAACCTAAAAATACATTTTGCTGCAGTTACTTCTTAATTTTGTATTTTGAATTTTGAGTATGTATTAGGCACAAAGTTGCCAGTTTGAAGGTGCAGGTCCTCAATAACCCAACATCTCTTAGGTAAACTCATTACGCGGAACTCAAGCTACAACTAGTTTTGGAAAGTGTGAGCAAGGGTTAGAACAATTTTCAGACTTTGCATGCATTCTTTTCCCATTGAAAAGCTTTACTTTTACTTCTTGACTCATAGACACAACAGGAAGTAAGAAATTCCACCCTTGGCAGCTGTCTTTGGAACTGGTCTGCCCCTTGGGGAGATTTCTCCTGCTTGTTCCAGTGACAGCAGTGCGTTCCAGAGCGGTAGCTGCTGGAACACACCACAATCCCTCACAAAACTTCCCCCTGCTTTCTGGGGCGTAGCGGTGCCTTGAATTCAATGGCACCGTTTCCTGGACTCGTGACAAAACTTTGCCACTGTTCTGTCCTATGGCAAACGCAAAAAATGCTGCTTGCTCTAAGTGGTAGAGGTGGTGCCATTGAATTCAATGCACCACCACGCCCCCTCCCACCTGAGAACGCAGGGGGAAGTTTTGTGAGGGATTGCGGTGCGTTCAAGCAGCTACAGCTCTGGAACGCAGCGCATACGGTGCGAACAAGACCTTAAATTTCAGATATATACTTTCACTTTTTTTTCTACACAGAAGATAAGTGGGATCTCTACAATGGGGATAGACAGCAATGAAAACCTGACAGGCATTTTAACCTTTATCCACTCTATTCAAAACAAGAAAAAACAATGTTTTGGTATGGAAAGTGTATGCTGTAACAAAAAAAGGCTTTTTGTTTTTGTTTTAACTGCTTTAGGACCGGAGCAATTTTTTCATTTTTGCACACAAATGCCAAAATCTGATTTCTTGGATAGAAAATGACTTTAAACCCCTAAGCAATTATATATTTTCTTAAAGCAAAGAACCTGTTGAATAAAAAATAGTAAACATTTTTTTAATTTCTTGATATTCGTGCGAATGTTTATACAATTTATATTTTTAGCTTTAATACACTAAGATGAATTTTAGTACACACAAACACAATATAATACCCATAGGATAGGGGAACTTATTTAGTTCCAGCCAGCAGCGGGAGTAGTTTAGTACCTTTTTTGATTTTTTTAAGTTGGCACCTTTTTTCTTAGCTGCTGGGACTGAAGACCTGGAATGCTACTGCACCTGTGTAGCCTCCTTTCCAGTGGGTGTACTGCGCCTGCTATCTTGGTGCACGATCACAGACTCGTGTCCTCTGCTTCCAGCCTCACTGTCAATCTCACAGCTCAACATTCCTGCAGATGTGCATGGACTCACGCTGCCTACAGTGACTGGACACAAAAGGCTTTACCTTTCTTGCTATACATTGTATAGTTCTGAGTATACCTCATGGCATATCCCTCACGCTATATGGTGGATCATGGGCGCAAGGCCTAGGAAGTATGC